CAGAGAAGTAGCAGAAGTGCAGAGATAGGCGGTGGTGGTGGGGTGTGAGGGTGGTGGTAGGGCTGGCATGCTGCAGGGTGGCGGGTGAAAAGGTTTAGAGATAGATGGGGACGAGGTGACAGATAGTATATGTTGAAAGCACAGGGGTAAAATAACAGTGAGAAGCGACCGAGGGGCACAGCAGACAGCCCAGCCCCTGCACCTGTTGTTTTTCAAAAGAGAGAGATGCATGGGGTCAGAGGGGGTGGCAGGGGTATATGAGGGGTGCAGCAGTGTATTTGCTTTTTGTGACTCAGGAGAATCTGAGTAAAGCACTGAGAGGGAGTAAACCGAGCAGGGACTATGCAAAAGACCCAGCAGGAGGAGGAGGAGGGGGAAGAGGAAAGTGAGGGGGGCTATGCAGTGAGTCAGCTGTGACTAAAAAAGGAAAGTGTGGTGTAAAATAAGACAAGCGGTGAAACAGCACTCCGAGTTTGCTCATCCCCTTGAAACTACACTGAAGGTGACCACAGACTTTCGGGGGAAAAGTGACAAAAAAATCAGTTGAGGTTTTAGGTTGAATAAGCAGCGTGCGGTTTAATTTACATGTAATATGGCTAATAGAATTCCTCAAATAGGTGGTGACCTCTGATCATGTTGGACATGGCATCTGGTTCTGGTTTGAATAAATCAAAGAAAGAATAATGACATAATCAACCTCTTAACGCACTATTATTAAGGACGTGTAATCAATTCACCCCTTAACGAGGCGTCAGTTGAATCGTCTTCAGGGTTTATATGGCAGAAATTTCAGGATCTTTTTTAATGCTACAACAGAATCTCATCCGCACTATGTTCTGGTGCCAAGTACTGGGTTATTAAATGGACGGGCACAGTGGTGATGATATCTGCTACTCTTCCTGAGATCTTAGAATAGCATAGGATGCACAGCATTACTCACCCTGGTAAGGGAATGCCACAACCTGAGTAGCATGTCCTATCACTATAAAGTTATGTTATGCAGTGAACTGTGAAAAGCACAGGTCAGCATTAGGGGCTGCGATCTCTTAGCCTGTATTTGCCATAGATAACTTTTTATTTTAATTAGAACAAAGTTGTTTTGTTGAACACACTTTTAAAGGCCTACTGTATGCTGTAGCATTATTTGGTATACCAAATAATGTTACAGCATTTATTTTATATATTATATTTTATATTATAAATATATTATATTTTATTATATATTTTATTTTATAGCATTTATTTTATATGACTATGTTCATTTATGAACATAGTCATGTTGAGATAAAAGCTGGTTCATGTTTTATTCTGTAGCTCTGTCAGGCCTTTTTTAAGAGAATTGTAATCAGGCCAGGTAACACATTTACACAAGCTGGAGTGTGAGGGTGCTGAAAACTGGGAAGCACCTTTTAATATAATGTCTCTGGGGTAAGAAAAATCAAAGTGACGTCATTCCTTTTCATACATTAAGCTTGTTTATAAACCGCACCATGGGCTGAATTACAATGGCTACTTTGGAGATTAATTCACACAGAATTATATTTCACCGTTGACGGAGAGGATTAAAATGATCAGGTTCAACACTGAAAATAAACACTTAATACTATCACCAGAACCTTAGACTCCCCCTCTGTCTATTAACTGCATCTATTCCTGCCAATACCAGGAGTCATAAGAGATGTAAGCTGTTCAGAACGTTTCTCGGTGGTGGTAACTGCACAATTTTGAACTTGTAGTATGAAAGAGGTACTTAGATGTCAGATGAGGAGACAGGAGTACAGTGAGTACATGCATGTGTGTGTGTGCATGTGTGCATAAAGGATGGTCCGAGGTGGAATGCTGACCATGCTGAGGCTTCGGTAGGGCAGCAATGGAAGTCCTGGCTTTGAGACACAGTGTCACTCTGGCTCTCAGGTTTCTGTTCATGCTAAACATGGAGGTGCCCTGCAGCTCTACTGGGGATAATTATAATGCATTTTATATGAGCACCGACAAACACAGCAGATTGAATCTAAATGGCCACATGAGATTGAGAAGTAAACACGATGGGTGACTCTGACATCTGTCTATCATGAACTTTAATTCAAGCAGGCTAAAACCGACATGGACTGTACAGCAGCTGTTGCCAACGTATATCAATATACTGTACATTCAAAATGTTGCATTGACAGCATGTGTGTTGGCAGAGACATCATGTACAAGGCAGCCTGAGGGTGAACGTGTCCATTTCGAGCTTTGAGCAACGTTTCTTTCAATAGTGTCCTTAGTCCACATAATATCCACAAGACCTTTTTCAATGTTTCAGACATCAACACTTGGTCGATGCTTATCACTTTTCCTGTTTATAATATGTGACTCTAGTTATCTTTTCAACATGATTCTGGTCATATTTTTATTTAACAGTATATATACTATAGTACCATATATATATATATATATGTATATATATATATATGTGTGTGTGTGTGTGTGTGTGTGTGTGTACTGTACTGAATGAAGAATGACAGAGGTCCTGCTTTGTGTCCTGGCAAAGTATTCTCCTCTTGCAGCTGTCCAAGGTGTTGTATTCAGCAAAAGTAAACAGTTTCAGTTTGTTCCTGGCAAGGTCAAAAACAGCCTGGCTTTCAATTATGAAAAAGTAGCAGACTCTGCTGTCAGCTGCTTTATGCAGTGGTTCAAACTGGAATAAACCAGCTGCCAAGCAACGAAGACAAGTCAACCACCACTACAGCTAAAAAAAAATAAACCAGAGTACTAAAATGAAGTTTCCTTTTTAATATTAGCACATTAAAAAAATAAACTTTAAATGTAATACTTTAAAAACAATAGCTGTAACTGAAACAAAAATGTGACAGATCAACTGTTACATCATAGCTTTCCTGTTCCCCCAGTCTCTCTCTCACTCTATTGTTTTAAAGCAAGTTTAAGTTACAAAGCCTCAGTTTAATATTCATTTTTATAAAATGTCACAACATCTTTCTCAAGGGTACACTGTCGTGGAAATGTTATAATGCATTTTATTTGTCCATTTCCTAATAGATGTTCTATGGCACAGAGGTCCAAAAACACAGCTACTCTCTACAAGTTATATTTCGATTGAGGCCAGTGAGAATAATTATACATACTCCTCACACGTATTTTTTTGTTTTTTTGTTTTGCAGAAAACCGCAACTTTACACATGAGTTTCCCAATGAATTATTAATATTTTTCTGTTTTTTATTTGTACATCAGTGTAATTCCACCATTTTCCAGGAATGTGTCGACACGCAAAGATGCTGAATTCCCTGCTCCGACGTTGGGTGTGTGCACTTACGTGCACATCTCTATTATGTCACAGTGATGATCTGGCAGGTGAACGGGGGGCCTCAGCCCAAATCAGCCATCCACATATTGAGCTCATGGGAACCACTGGATCATAGCAGCTTCTGGGCAGCGGGATTATCTGGTGAGAGGAAACAGCTGAGGTCTGTCCAGAGTCAGCACTTGCTAATCAACGCTCCCACTGCACACACGTTTACCCTCACGTTTATGCTAACGTTTATGTTCTTCTTTCATAATTTCCCTCCCGCTCTTTTCTTTCAAGCGACAGGGGTCAGACTCCCACAAAAGCCCTGTGCCCACAAAAGTCAAAGGGGGGCCACAATGAGGGTATGGGAGGAGGCAAAGGGGACAAAAGCAAACTGAAGTGCTTGGTCAAAGCTGACAGGACTGCTGAGTCATCACTACTGTTGGTTCTCCGGTTAAACTCCCAGAGATGTTCGCGATCCAGAATCAACTTGTTCATTTTAGTCCGAGGCTTTGTTCCTTTGAAGGTCCCTGCTGTCACTGCAGGTCAGTGCTTCACACAAGACTCAGCGAAAGATGGGCAACTGTTGACTGTGGTTATGCAACAGCAGCAACTTTCAAACTCTGTGCAGATGTCATGCATTTCCCTCCTGACCTGTGAGGTACTGGGTACAACATATCCATTCACATCCGGCCTTAATTGAATTAGCTGAGCTATATTTATCCATGTACTCAAGTTGTTTTGGGCAAAATCAATTAGTACTTCGTAAAGCATGCTGACGTAATGGGCAGCTCAATACACTACAATCAGCATTGATGGACTGCCTACAGACAAGACTGTTGGCCATTAAAGATAGGTCATATTTAAATTAACCATATNNTCATATTTAAATTAACCATCGGGAAAGAACCATAAGTAATAAAAACTATGTATTTGAGCTAAGATCATGGTAAGATTTAGTCAGAATTAGTTTATTCATCTATAATTTGTTATAAAATGTATTAGGTAACATAAATGTACTAGTCTAAATGTTTTATGATTACTTTGAATCAATCGTAAAATTGCACCTGACATTTAAATTATTCCATTATTTTATATTTTTCTCCAACTCAAAATGCTTTTAAAATGAATTTCTTCTTCCAAATAGAAAAAGTACAGTTGTTTGCATTTTGGTTTTATTAGCTGTAGCCCACAGCTGTCAATCACAGGTACAGGTTTATTTTTATCTATCCAAATTTCTTAGAAACAATCTGCTTCTTTCAAGAACCAATCCATAGAATATTTTACGGTTACTGTTGAAAAGGAAGTGACTTTCCCTTTGCTTTTTCTTTTCTGATCTTCTTTTCTGATCTCTTTTTTGTGGGATGACAGCTAACTGTTAAATACTGACTACTATATTTGGACACAAAATGTAAACGGGGGATAGAAGTAGTTCTTAGTCTCTTGAGGCCATGTTTGGTTGGTTTGACAGAAAAACAAAAATACAGTTTCAGGCCTCTGAGCTGCACTTACATGGGAATGTCTCACATATTATAGTCAGTAGCATGACCCACAAAATAGGTTTTAAGGGTTAAGTAACAAAGGTTTCTCATTTGAACTTATTAATTGTGGACAATTGGGTGAAAGGGTTGTTGAATTTATTCACAAATGTGTGAAAAATGTGTTTATGGTACTCATATGGTGTTCATGTATAAGTAATTGAAAGCACAGGTATTTGTCATTTCAAACTAAAAGGTTTATTCAAATCAAACGGAAGAACTACACAAATGTTAATTCACTCAGTACATAGTATATTCATAGAATATCTATCCGCCGTCATGATTAACAGAGGAAAAATAATATACATGGATAAACATACAAATGGAAAACAACAAAAATTCAGTGGGTCATATTGCACTTTGTTTCTAAAATGTTTCAGATCCCATTCTGTGGGTTCTTTCTTTCATATCTCTGAACATTTCAGATCCTGCCTTTAACAGATCAGGAGTTTAGCTTAGTTTTGACACCAGACTACTTTTCGTCCCGAAGCCACCAGGCTGTATGGAATTAACAGAACCTAAAACAAACATGAGCTTATTTATTACTGCGTATTTTTGTTAGGTTTCTCCTATGATACTATGTGAAAGATTAGGGCAGGCTCGCAGGAGGTTTGTACTGATGTGGAAGAAGCAGTCTATCTGTTGTCCTGTGTTACTTAAATGACTCTCATGGGGAAGGGGCAGTGGTCGACAGCTACCAACCACAGGCCTGAGGGTGAACAGGTAGGAAAAGAAACAACTCGAGATTTTTCATCACGTATTAATGCCATAAAATATGTGGTGAAAGAAACAAATTTCGACCCTCATCAGCCTCAGTAAATTAACTGAGAAACCTGACCAGGGTGTTGATTATTTAAAATAAAAAGACAGGACTGTTTACCTCTTCCCTTTTTGTCCTTTTTTGATAAACACTCCAAAGTGTAAAACATGTACATGTGAACAAGCAGAAAAGGTGAAGAGTCAGAGTTAACGTAGACAAGATCAGGTCTGTTCTGTATCAAGGCCACTAATAAAATAAGATCACTTTAATTATCTGCAGTTCAATTGCTGGCAGAAGCTGAATATTTAGTAGTTGCCAGCTGGATCTCTGTAGGATCATGCACACACACACACACACACACCAACTTGAGTCAGCTACGTTTTAATGTAAACTTAAAAAAAGGTTAATCCTTAGAAAAAAAAGTTAACAATGCATTTATGTCCTACAAATGTTTACCTTAGACCTTCACCAGTACAATGCTACTTTTTCTTCTTATCAGAAAAGTGCTGCTTTTTTGCTTACTATGACAAAACCTCTGTTATAGCTGGTCTGGTTGTTGTTGAGCGAGTTAGAAAACCAATGTATTACTCGTTTCAACCTACTTTTACTCCTACTTCTACTTGTTCTGACCAGTCTTAACAGAAGTCCCTAGCTACGTCCTCAGCTTTTTACATATGCTGGGTTTGCTTCTGTTTTGCAGAAGCAATACAATTCAACCATTTTCAACATTTCCTCTTTTATTTTTTTAAACGGAGCATTCTGGTTTCACCGGTCTGAAAAAAAAAGTCTTACTAGTGGGTGGATAAACTAAGGTGAGTGCAGCAGGACAAAAGGGAATGTGAATCATCTCAGAAAGCTGCCTTGCATCTCCACGTCTCATCTCAGTTTTAGTAAATGAAAAAAAAAGTACTTTTCTAAACAGTGCAACTTAAATGAAAAACCTATTACATTTATTTCTCTTTTCACCAACTGTATGACATATGAGACCACCTGAGACAGTGCTTTTTGAGCAGTAATGCAAAATTGGCTTGCCCTGAGATTACGAGTAGAGGGGGTGCAGGCCATGAGGATGAGGGGAGTCCCTCCATAATGTGCCACTATCATTTACACAAAAGTAAAAACAAACCTTGTCTGCTACAACTTAAGTGAAAAAGTAGGTCTGTAACCCTCCTAGTTCAAATCTTGGGCAACCACAACACAAAAAAATATGATTGGAGCTAAATACAACAACAATAACAACTAAACTAAAACAACAGAGGGAACCCACACGTGGATCCAAGCTTAGAAGGCAATATACTTCAAAGAAAGATTCCAGATGAAAATAGTGTGCTGCAGTTGTTGTAAAAGTCCAGTCTAGTTGTTGTGGGTCACTGAGAAATGTCATAAGGAGAAAGAAAAACTCTTAAAACAAATTCAGTGCATTGTTCTTGACCTTTCACCCCCTCCCCCCCAAAAAAAAACAAATTCTGTTCTCACTTAAGTGAAGTCCTAAAAGTTAGCCCACTGTCTCAATCAGGTGGTTACAAAGGTTGAAACCAAACTATTAGTGATTTTTAACATATATAATTAAAGATAATTAAAGAGTCACACAAGTCAAGTAAAGAATAGAATGTGCAAAACAAAATCCCTATGAGGCAGGAGGACCTAGTCTTTCCTCTTGTCACCACTGCCTTTGTGAAAAACTTCCATTAATATGGACTATGGTGGTTAGAACGTTGTTATTTTTCGCTCTCCGTTTCCATGATTCAGCCTGGACAGGATTCATCCAGCCCTTTGTGTGAGTCCATATGTGCCATGACTGCAGAAGAATCAAGGGTGACAGAGAGATAGGGAGAGAGAAGCGTGGTGGGCCGGGGCCTCTGTGACCTTTTCCTTTATGTCAATGCGAAACTGGCTATTTGGGTGATTTTTCCTCATCTCGTACATACTGAATGTGTTTATCTGCACACATCCCACCCTCAGCAGGCTAAAACAGGAAAAAGGGTATAGCCCTACACTTATAGTTCCTGTTTGTGCCACTAAGGGAGGGCAGAAACAGATCTGTCCACCAAACTCAACTGTAGTTATTTGTCCAAAATTCTGTTGGTTGGTCATGGACTTTGTTTACTTCACCACTATCAACAGCATAGCACCAATGCCGCTGTTGGAGATGTACAAACAAAGATGAGCCCCGGAAATGGGTTACTGCGATGGTCAGGAGAATTCTTAAAGACACCCTTCAGCGAGAAGGACAGGCATCGAGTCTGCGCTCCTCAGTGCGCCTGGCATGATCTGGATGAGGATCAATCTATGGTGGAAAAAAACCCAGAACATAGTGTTCATTGTGAGCAAAGGGACAGTATGCTTAAACAAGTAACAACAAGATCCACAAAATATTTGCTGTGCGATATCTGATGGTTACCTCAGAGTATAGAGGAGGTGGCTGGAAACGGAATTCATGAATATAGGCAAAGAGAGGTCCGTCCAGATCCTCACGGTCGGCGGGGACATCAAGGCTGCTCTGCCTCTGCTCTTCTGTCACAATTTCTGCATAGCTTGGAGGAGCTGCACAAAAAGCAAGTAAAGTGTGAGCAGTATATTTAAAATAAAATATATACATTTGATTCATGACTAAATATTTAATCTACCTTCAGGTCTCTCTGGCAGACCCATGCCCAGCCAGCTCATGCTGCACTGGCTGCTGACACTGGAAGTACGGGAACCAAAGGGGTGGAGAGGAATGGTTCCAATGACCAGAGGCAGGGTCAGAGACAGATTAATAGCCCCAGGTATATCCACATATACCTACACAAAATACAAAAGAAAAATCATGTAAGGCGTTAATCACATCTGAAGAATTTGTTGGTTTTAATTTATTGCTGAGCATTTTACCCCTTTCTATGACATTGACAAGTTAAGCAGAGTTCTACTGGCTGTGAGGTAGCTAGACAGTGTGAGTCAGTGTATTCAGGTAGGTTGCTTATGCAAGAACAGTTCCTGTCTGTTCACAAGGTAAAGAGGTTATAGGCACCTTCACGATAGGTGTTACCATGAATATTCCAGGCTAATGCTCTTAGCAGCGGCAGTAGCACATGGCGCAACCTATAAGGCTGAAACTTGGCACAGCTAGCTGAGTGAGGTTCTCCAAGAGCAGAGGCATTGTACTGCACTAATGATGGAGTGAATCATAGTTGATAACAAAATTAACTAAAACAGATTATAATCACTACTGGGAATGTCTGCTCTTTGTAGCTCACATCAAGACACAGCAGCTAAAGGCTAAATAGAAAGTATAAGCAGCCCAAAAACATATAAGTTGTACTCACCATGAGTGAATACTCCACTCTAATGATGCTGCAGTCCAGGATGGATGGGGACACAGGTGGGATCTTCAGCATCTTGCCATTCCAAGTCTCTGTTTTGCCTGAGGACAAAGACTCTCCCCGCAGGTTAGCCACCAGCTGCTTGACCTCCTTTATCTTCCCTTTGGCATAGAAGGTCTGGGTCTGGTAGATGGCTGCCTTTGGCACCACTATGCGGGATGAGCAGTTCTCAATCTCAGCAAAGATCTGGATTGACTCTCCTACAGAGTTAAAGATGGCATACCAGAGATTAGAGACTATGAACACTTGCAAATACCTATAATCAGCATTATCTTAGTGTGTTATAATTATATTATCAATGCATAATCCGAAGGCAATAGTCCTTTATTTAATTGTCAGATGATGAGCAGAGAACCGTCAAATCATTAGCGTATCCTCACCTGGGGTGTATCCCTTCCTTTCAATCTTGGCACTTAGGGAAATAGGACCTGAGGTGCAGAACCAACAGCAAAGCGTCTTGTCCTTTGTGCCGGCCTGTGGTGACTGAAAAAGTAAAAGACAGATGCTATTGATTTGCAAAAAAATATTAAAAGTATGATAAAGATTGTAGACATTGTAGTATAATGGTTAAGGGCTAAAACATAAATAATAATTTAAGGAGATCTGGCCTTGCCATTCATTTGCTATATTAGGTCTAAGGAGTAAACTGCTGACAAGTCTTTTCTCCATTGCTTTAGTCTATAAAAACTCCTCATACAATACCTTCATGGCAAGATAAACCTCAAAAGAACTCACCAGCAATAGTGGAGTGTTGATGTCAATGTGCTCAAAGACTGTAAATTCCTTCTTGGTCTTCATCGGCAGGAGCCAAGGTCTGTGAAGTTCTGCCTTTACCCAGTAGCGCACGCTGCCATGCTTCCCTTCGAAAGAGGTAGCCAGAGGTCTACAGTAGATAAGAAACAAGGAGGGGGCAGAAGAGGAAAGTCAAATTAGATGAAAAAATGTTGTAACACTAGATTGAAGTGATGATGTGTTTAACCTGCATGTAATGTGTCATGTTGAGAAACTTACGTCTGTGGAAGCTCGAGACTGAACGCATACTCATGCCTTCCTGAATGGATAGTGGTGAGTGCTTCCTCTGAGTTGTCATCGTCTGAAAAAGAAGGAGGACAACTTTCCAACTACATGTATACCATACCTGTGTAAAAAGCTCTACCAAGGCATCTGAAAGTCATACAAAATTACAGGGTGGGGGAGGAAAGAAAGAGAATAGAGGGGTTTTACTACCTGAATATATGTCTTTTAAGATATACTGTATTGAAACAGAAGTGCCAACCCAAAGCGTAAAAAGAGGAACAGAACTAACTGAAAACAAAGCACAGGCCTACACTAAACAAAAGCCATGACTATCATGAAAAAAAGAAAAAAACATTTAATATGGTGTAGCAACAAGTTTAAGGTAAAAGACAAAGCAGATATTTTGTTTGCTCATTTTTAAGCAAGCAAGAGCTAAAAAAAATACTTGAAAATGAATTAATTATTTTATGGTCAATATGTCATTCAAAAGAAACCTCAGTCGACCTATTTTTGTACTTCACTAAAACAAAATGAGCACATTTACTTGCAATGTTGGAAAGACAATGTCGCATGTCGTCGCTTGTATAGTCGATTAAAATTGATTTTAAGTGTATTTTTATTTCGATTATAACAACAATATAGAAGGTCAGTGAAGAGCAGGGTGGATAGTCTTGTTGCCAGCTCAGCACTCCCTCCTCCTCCAACAGCAGCAGCAGTGTGGTAAACAAGTGCGGAGCTGTCAGTCAAACGGCAGACTCCAGCAGGAGGAGACCGGCCTAAACCGGTGTGAGCAGCTTCCCTCAGCTGCTTTACTCTCATTACGCATTCAGTGTGCGACACCGCAGTCACTACTACAGAGTCAGAGCGCAGCTTCGGCTGCCTCAAAATATGTTGCCATTGGTACTGTCTGTTTAAAATTGAAACCACTCCACATAGTCAGTCGATGATATACATCATGTATACATACAACAGCAAGTTGTTTTTTTAAGCGCTATCGGTTTTCTATACTTTCACATTAATTGCTCAATATTTTAAACAGCATTAATTATATGTAAATTTAACGGCAGTGCAAACACACGCTAAATTTATGTTTTTTTATTTCACCATATTGAAACAGAATACATGTTTTCATATTTAGTGTATTCCTCCAGTTTCTACATACATCGAATAAATGTTCTACTGCCTCTATTCACTGCATCTCTTCTGATACGTCCCATTTATAGTCACGCCATAAACAATTCGGACCATCAGAAATATGTTAAATCCATATATTATATATATGTATAATATATATGCTATATTCATATGTTTATTTAATCTGTATTGCGTTATTCGCTTCTCGAAACCAACACAGGAATTCCATATGCACTTTCTTGCGCACACACCTAAACCACTCCAAACCTGAATTTACATGTACATCTAGTCCTTAGCTGCAGTCATTACAGGGCAGTGGACCCGTATCAGACATATATAGTTTTATAGAATAGTGTATTTTTTCAGACTGAATAAAAAGTTGCATGATCTGTCTGTCCCTTTCTGCAGAAATATGATGTCATTAGCCACACATGAGCACCTCAGCGAATCACATGTGAAATAGGGCGGAGTTTAAAGGTAAGACACACCCTCTCCAGTCCAGTTTTTTGAACAGGATTGAACCGCTTTGAACAATGGGGTGGAAACTTCAGAAAAAAGCCACAAAGAAACGCATAATAAAACACGGTTCTGCATGAAAAATGTCAGACAAAAGGCACAACGAAGCCAGTTGTTACTGTATATTGTTTTGCGAAAAAGAAATTTAGAGTAAGGGTTTTATTCAAGTAGAAATACTGAGGGAAACACGGATGTATCCGGGTTCTGTCATTCATTCTGTCACTTGGACACAAACAAGTGACGACGTAGATGTGTACAACCAGCATCTCCCAGCAGTCACGTCATACCAAGCAACGCTTACTAAATGCTACAAATACACACGGGAAACCATTTTACTTGTTTGAGGTGTGATGAAAAAAACAACAGCATCCTTCCACACCACCTTAGTCAGCACAAAGAGCATCTCTAGTCCACTTTAAACAAAACAGCTAACATTTTTAGAAAAAAAAAAAACTAGAAAAACATATTTACCTCTTTCGTGTCCAATTAAGATGTCTTTGTGATTTAGATATTCCACTTCTTCTGTGTAGTTTTGCGTGTAGGCAGTGTTGGAGCCAGCGTTTCTCGACTCAGTCCAGCGAACTTTTGCAAACCCCTTCGCGTGGATTTTGAGAGACTTGACTCGGATCTCTCCCGTCACTTCGATGGTCACTCTACCTGAGACACAGTCCCCGCTGGAGAAGACGGGGACGTTGCTGTCATTGTGACAGTCGTAGCTTACAGTGAAACTCTTTACTTTTCCTAGCACCATGGTGGAAATAGAGACAGGCTTCGCCAGGAAGTTACAAAAAGAGTCTATGAAAAAATAATCTCATGAAGTTTAAAAAAACGGATGCAAGTTGAAGATACACCGATCTGTATCTCCGCCCTGCACAAAGCAGTAGGCACGATCAGTGGCTTCTTTGTGAGCAGTTCATTGAGATGTGTATGTCAAGGCTGAGTAACAGCAGTAGCTGCTGCTATCCTCCTCCTCTCTTGATGGTCCCCAGTCAAAGACAAGAGAGAGCAGCTACTCTCCTCACTTTAAGCGACTCGGCTGTGTGAAAAACAACCTTCTGCGCACGCGCAGGGCTTCACCGCCCCCGTCTTCCGCCTTCGGGATCAAGCGAGACGGATGACAAGTTTGACTAAACAGCTGAACGGCTGCACAAAGAGACGTCCATCAAAGTCATTCTGGGTTTCTACAGGTGATCTAATAGAGTCAATACATGAAACGATACACATAATCCTTGTATGTATCTAAGGAGCACGTGTGCTGGGTGCACTAAATCGACCACACACCCACTTCTCTATGCCTTGAGATACCCACATTGTCAGAGAGACGAGGAAAGCCAGTCGTAGTCATTTGATCACAGGATTAATTGTCAAATTTTACTAACAATGGCCTTAGAAGTGTTATCAGACACTGCAGCAAGTCCTAAAAGGAGAGAAAACCCCAGAAAAGATTTGTGGACATGGTAATGGAGGACATTGACATGGTTGGTGCAACAGTAGGAGCCAAGGGATGAAGGCAAACGATCTCCAGTGAGAGCTGCTAAAAGACAAAGACCAACCATGCATGAACTGCAATTACTTAAAATAATGTGTGATTATAGTGGATGTCACTTACCCAAACAAAATATACTAAATAAGTAAGTAAGTAAGTCAACTTAAAATTGTTATCATCTACAGGTATCTTAGTGATTATCCTAATTTTGTACACAATTGCTAAATGTCTCATACAATGTATTTGGGCATGAAAGCCCTTTGTGTATGCATATGTTCCACTGTGCCGTAACCTACATATAGTATACGGCCTCCTATACATGCAAGCTCACTGCAGCCTCCACATCCCAGTGCAGATGGCAGCAGAGAATATATAGAACAACAGATCTCCCTGCATTATGGCTGCAGCAGCTGGCCTGTGCAAAATTACAGGATTATACACAGGCTTGTGATAGCAAGTAATAGAGCATGAGTATGTCTCGAGAAAAGGATTGTACAGGATCAAATACTGTATATTGTCTTTGGATTTAGATCAAATTGTTCCATTTAATACACACAGGCTTTGATGGGGCTTTTCTTTCCAGAGAGAAGAAAAACAAGACTCGGCAGCTCAAAGCGACACCTGCTGGTCATGAAGGCCTAGTGACATAAATAGCCAAAAACACGTCACACCTGTTGAACAGCAGTGTAATTATTCAGAGCTCTTTTTGCACATTTCATATATTACAAAACTAGCCTTTAAAACAGATTAATACCTGATATCACCCACCCAGTGACAGTATTATTAAGAATGAATACGGATAAGAATACAATTAAAGATATACAAATAAAAATAAGCAACCTTTTAAATGATATACAGTACTTTACATGACATAATTGCGCCAATGTATACAAGGTTTTAGCCTTCTTTGTGCCAGTAAACCTTTTTTTGTAAATTTTGGACTAGGTACTAGATTCATTATTTTTCACCTTAACTCGCTAACTTGGTAGATAGTTTAATTAAAACGAGCCTAAAACAGCTGTGCTGATGAGTCAGAATGTGACAGTCATGCTTATCACAGCGCGGCAAAACTTTGCATTCATTCAAAAATCAGTCATTCATACATAGAGTTCATCAAGGTAAATGTTGCTCTCTAGCGTTTACTTTTTGCAATCGCATCCATTGTTATCAAGTTGGACTAACTTTTCTTGGTTAATTACTACGAGGTTATAGTTTATAGTATACTGTTGCAACACCATTATAGTTATGGACGGCGTTGTGTCTAATAAAAATAGTTTTATTTTCATTTTGACCGTTATTTTGCAGATTCGACGGGTTACTCTTATTTTGAAAGAGAAACCAGGAAGTTTTTCATATTCAAGAGCACTCAGTGACAGACAAAGAGGAAGTACTGATCACTTCTTACACTTGAGACAAAACTTTTCCAAAAACAAAACTTGAGACAAAACTCAGCACGATATCATCTGAAGAACAGAATGTAAAGACGCTAGGATGAATCCTTTACTTCTGACTTTGTTTTATCTGATTCAGTGGTACCATGGAACTTTTTGCCTAAACGGAACTAAACCAAATATTGTGGTGGTGATATCTGAAGAACAGAATGTAAAGACGCTAGGATGAATCCTTTACTTCTGACTTTGTTTTATCTGATTCAGTGGTACCATGGAACTTTTTGCCTAAACGGAACTAAACCAAATATTGTGGTGGTGATGAGTGATGCATTTGTAAGTGCCATGAAATCAGTAAAATCTTTATTTTTTAACTAAGAACAGGAACAGAACAAAGACTAAAAATATTTATCTGCATGATTAACTCCAGTTTTCTCTGTTATAATTAAGGATGGACGTTTGACCTTTGATCCTGGCAGCAAAGTTGTGCATCTGCCATTTATAAACTACATCAGGGAGCTTGGTTCTACTTTCCTAAATGCCTACACTAACTCCCCAATCTGCTGCCCTTCAAGAGCAGGTAAGTCATTATTCTTTCACCAAAGTGAATTAAAAACCACAATGAAACACCTAATTGTGTGCTTAACACAGTTAAGTACTGGTAACAGTGAGGATCTTTGCTTTAGCAATGTGGAGCGGTCAGTTTGTCCATCTTACTGAGTCATGGAACAACTTTAAATGCCTTGATGCAAACGCGTCCACGTGGATGGATTTACTGGAGGCAAGTGGATATCTTACCAAGATGATGGGGAAACTGGACTTCACCTCAGGAAGTCACTCTGTCAGGTAGGCAGACATGGTCAACCTTAAATTCACTATAAATTCTTATGCTGTTGTTTGAATTCAACATGTTTTTTCTGGGGGGTTGTGTGACTGTTGCAGTAACAGAGTTGAGGCTTGGACACGAGATGTTAATTTCCTCCTGCGCCAGGAGGGACGACCAGTTACAAAACTAGTTGGGAACATGTCCACAGTCAGGATCATGGAAAAGGACTGGGAAAACACTGACAAAGCCGTGCAGTGGATTCATAAAACAGCTGCATCGTCACACCAGCCCTTTGCACTTTACCTTGGCCTGAACATACCTCATCCTTATAAAACTGAATCTTTGGGGCCAACGGGTGGAGGATCCACTTTCCTCACTTCACCGTACTGGCTCTCAAAGGCACGTTTATAATGATAATAATAATAATACATTTAATTTTATAGGCGCCTTTCTGTCACCCAAGGACACGTAAATCCCTGTTTTCTTCAAATCTTTATAAGACACCATCTTGAAAATCTGAATTTTTTGCAGGTCTCCTCTAACCTCATCACTACTCCTCAGTGGGCTGCCCATGGCCGCCATGCACCCTGTTGATTACTACTCTACCTTCACCAAAAACTGCAGCGGGGATTTTACTGAGGATGAAGTCAGGGGCATTCGGGCATTCTACTACGCCATGTGTGCTGAAGCTGATGCCATGCTGGGTTGGTGGACAACAGAGTGTGGTTGTAGTAATACTGTATGCACTCGATGACAAAGTATACAGCAAAAATGAATCCACTGATTTTGTAATAAGTCAAATATTATATAATATTTTAGTTGTTCAACAGAGATATGGGTCATAAAGAAATATTCTTTTCCTTTGTCCCTTTTTCAGGGGTTGCCACTGCGAATCATTGATTTTCATATTGCCCTGTTCTCTTCATCTTCTACTCTGACTCCAACTTTCTGCATGTCCTCCCTCACTGCATCCATATATCTCCTCTTTGGCCTTCCTCTTTGTCTCCTACCTGGTAGCTCCATCTCTAACATTCTTCTACCAATGTATCCACTGTCCCTCCCCTGCACATGTCCAAACCACTTTTTCTCCCCCTGGGGATACTCTCTATCATCCAATCCAGCTCCTTCCAGAACTTCTCCTTTTCTTCTAACTCACAGCCCACCTGTGGGGCATAACCACTAACAACATTAATCATTTCTCCTTCTATTTCTACCTTCACACACATCAACCTGTCTGACTCTCGTTTCACCTCTACCGCATTTCTTACATATTCTTCCTTTAGGATCACCCCTACTCCATTTCTCTTCCCAGCTCAACCATGATAAAACAGTTTGTAGCCTCCTCCAATGTTTTTAGCCTTACTGCCCTTCCACCTGGTCTCCTGGACACACAAAATGTCTACTCTTCTCTCCATCCCATCAGCCAGTTCTCTACTTTTCCCTGTCATTGTACCTACATTCAGAGTTCCAAACTTCAGACCAACACTTCTATCCTTCCTCTTTTCTCTTTTTGTCCAAATCAATCGTCCTCCTCTTCTTCTTTGTCTTCATCCAACAGTAGTCCAATTTCCACCAATATTTTCAATAGAGAATTAATTTGATAACGGGTACAAACACTGGTTTTAATTTGTAAAAATCCCCAATTCATTCAGTTTTTACACATTCAACTGTCATCTCGTGTTTAGCAGAATCTATTTCTACACTAGTTGTATTTACACATAATTAGTTATAAGTCCAGCTCAGTTTACTGTTTCCCACATTTGTTGTGTCACCAGGCCAGGTCCTATCTGCCCTGAGAGAAACAGAGCTCCTCAACAATACTGTTATCATCTTCACATCAGACCACGGAGAGTTAGCCATGGAGCATCGGCAGTTCTACAAGATGTCAATGTTTGAGGGCAGTTCCCATGTTCCCCTGCTGGTCATGGGGCCGGGGCTCATCTCTGGTCTACAGATTGATCAACTTGTGTCACTGGTCGATTTGTTTCCCACTATACTGGGTAAGAAAGTGTAATTTAGGTGACAAAAATCTAAAAGTTACATTTTCTAAACTAACTTCCTTCATTCATTTGTTTTTGTGTACCTTTTCAGACATTGCTGCTATTCCACTGGTTGGTAATCTCAGTGGCAACTCTTTAATTCCTCTAATGTCCATATTTACCCATTTTTTAAAGAAACAACGTCCAGATTGGGTCTTTAGTGAATACCATGGTTGTAATGTTAATGCCTCTACGTACATGCTAAGAAGTGGCAGGTGGAAATACATCAGCTATTCTGATGGCACCAGTGTCCCTCCGCAGCTTTTTGGTGAGCATTGACTATTTATGCATCTTTATCACCAGAAATGACAAAATTACTCTTTTCTGTATCTTTCTTTTGCAGATCTTGAGGTGGACAAAGAGGAGCTCAATAATGTGGCAGAGAAATTCCAAGATGTCACAAATTATTTAGACAATACACTGCGGGTCATCTTAGACTACCCCAAAGTCTCTGAAGCTGTCCATCACTATAATAAAAAAGCCTTTACTGCCTGGAGAGAAAGTCTGGGAGGGAATTACAGCCAGGTTATTGCTAATCTGAGATGGCATATTGATTGGCAAAAAGATGTGTTCTATAATGAGGAAGCTATTAATACCTGGCTTCAAGGCATTGAATGATTTAGGGTTAGGTCATTAAAATGTTGTTCTTTTCTCTTATCTGGTAGAGTACAGATATTGTTTTTTTTATGTGTAAAAAACACAAGTGTGGTCAGCTGGTGGTGATAAGCTTAAAATTTTAATTTTGCCATTTTTAGTTCATTATAGAATATAGATATTTTTAGTATGAACTGAAAGCGTTTGTCCTCTAATCGTTGTGTAAAGTTAGAATGTAAGTCATTCTCTCTTTTATATAGTTCAATGTTGTTAGTTTATAAAATTGTAAAATTATTCTCGTATCCTTACACGTTATGTACTGTATCGTCTACTTGGTGTTAGTAATTAAACTGTATGTGCTTTTATTTTGAACAGTCTTAGAGAGGGTGCGTCACTTTTATTTCCGGGTTGCCTGCAATGCAAGACTCAAGTTGCGGACGCAAACAGTGGGTGGCACAAGTGAATTTTATTTTATTTATATTTTTTGCCGAAATCAGCTAACTTAACAAAAAAGCATTAATTAGTGACGAGTGGGTCTCTAAAATAGTCCTTTTTGCGAACTGTCTTGTTTATTTGCTCTAACAGGCTAACAGCTAATGCTATATTCATAATAACGAATGAAGCACAGTGAGTGACATGTTAAGATTTCAATTTGTCTATTTACTTTACCTTTAAATAAAGAAGTGTTAAGCGTAATTTTTAGCTACTGGGTGTAAAACTGCTGATTTCATGGTTCATGGCAAAGGGACACTTTGTTTGGCTGGGCTTCTCATACACGTGTGATGCTAATTGTTTTGAAATTGTAATGCACTCAGAGACAGAGTTGTTATTTTGTTTTTTGTTTTACCAGCATCTGCCAATGATTACAACTTATTGTATGGGCTGCATTTTTTTAATGTCAAATACGATTATCAATCGTGCAACCGAATTAGATCAGAAACCGAATTTGTCTTAAAAACCGTTAAACTATTTTAAAGACTCTTAACTAAGGGTCTTGTTAAAAGTTCCGCCAGTTTGAAGGTTTCAATATCGAGCCATGACTGGGACTTGATAACTGTTAATACTACAGTACTTTAATGGCTTGTAGGAGCGGCACATACAATGCTGCTACAACAGCTGAACATATTTACAAAATGTGTTTACGATGCCAAGGCATTCTTGAATACGTAGTTGGTGTTTTTACCTGTTTGTTTTTCTATAAAATATATTTATTCAAACTAACTAGTGAAATACAACAAAGAGGTTTATTCTGTGGCTTCTAAAAAGCTGCACATTTACATCCTATTGATTTTTTTCCATATTTTGGTATCACATTGCTTTTGTAAATTTGCCAAATATCAGTTTCTGCATTTAAAAAAAGTCATTTCAAAGTTTCAACCGCACATTTTAACAGTGTAACTGCTTTATACCTTAACTATGAAAAAAAAAAAAAAAACAAAGCAAAAAACGTATTTTGCAAATTTGTATCTCACAACTTTAAACAGGTGACTGCAATATGGCCAGCAAGGAAGTCAAAGCAGGGTTGAAAAATGCCAGAGAGGCCATTAAAAACAAGGAGTTTAAGGAGGCCTTAAAACACTGCAAGGTATAATTTTACCTGAAAATACTGCATATATGTCAACCACAAATATAATCAATACTTTTCAGAAAAACATGTTATGCAGTTAACATGTTTTTGACCTGGTACCAGGTGGTTCTGAAACTGGACAAGACTAATTACAACGCCTGGGTGTTTATTGGCCTTGCTGCCAGTGAACTGGAGCAACCAGATCAGTCACATGCAGCCTATAAGAAAGCAGCGGAGCTGGAGCCGGAGCAGCTCCTGGCATGGCAGGTGAGATATTTTACCATGGGAGCCAATCTAACTGACAATGTCTTATTCTTGTTCACCTCAGTGTGTTTACTTATGAGTCCTGTCAAAATATCTTTCTGTGCTAGGGCTTAGCCAAACTTTATGAAAAGACGGATCAGTGGGATTTCAAAGTCGAACTCCCAAATGTTTATCAGAAGCTCGTTGACCTTTGTGCCAGGCAAGACTTTTATCATTGTCTTTTTCTAATTTATGTCTTGTTATAATTTATTGTCTGATTTTTTTTTCATTTTGCATTCTTCTACATACCTGTAAAATTATTAGATTAATATCCTGTTTTACATTCACAGCTCAGACAAAAAGAAATGTTACGAACTGATCAGAAAGCTTACAGACATTTATCAGTCTGACAAAGAATATAACAAGGTATGTGACCCTTTATAATTTAGGGAATTAAACAAAACAAAATTGCATTTAGAACACACACACAGACACACACATATATATATATATAACAATATATGTTTATGTCTGCACAGCTGGCAAAGCTTTGGCTGCAGCTTATTCAGCTGAAGGAGGAAGATGCTGTTGAAAAGAATGAGTTACTGCAGCTGTGGGAGGAAATGACACAACTGTTGTCAGAATGCCTGAATAAAGAGAAGCAGGAAGATGAAACACAGCAGCATGTAAGATGTTTGGTGTTTTTAATAATTACTGTATTATATAATATATAACATATATATAATAACTATAACTGTTAGAAACCATACACATACATAAGATCATGATTGCCTTCTAGCAGTTAGAACTGACAATATTTAATGTTGGTGGTCAACAGTTAATCACAGCATTTGAGAAAACCATGGCTCTCACAGATCCTAAACCAGGAGAGAAGCACAAGAAGATCTCAATGGACTATATTAAATGTCTTTCTAATGTAAGTGTTGTCTTTTTTATACTGCTCCATCATCTGGATTTAAAGAAATTGAGATTTAAAGACAATGCAGTCTGCTCCTTGGTTATAACTTAAGTTTAACCTAGTAACTATTTATAATATGGATTATTTTGAATGTTTTTTCATTTTTTTATTTTTCAATGCAATTATTCAATGCAATAATAATATTTTTTTAAATTTCAGCTACATCAAGAAGCTAAAATGATTGAGGCTTGTAACTCCATGATATCACTCTACCCCAATCAGACCTATCCTCTTGAGGTTCTCTGTTCTCACTATCTCCAAACAGGTAGGACACTTGGAGATACTTTAAAATTATCACTTTATATTATTAAAATGTATGGACTAGGTCAAATTTGGCACATATGTTACATTAGAAAAACCCCTGAACAAAATGTCACAAAAACTATGTAAGATTATTTAATAAAATACATTTTCCTTATAATTAACTCACTATTTACATGGTCAGTTTGAAACTGGGGTCTGTTTAGTTGAACACCACACTGAAGTATTTTCCATAGGAATCAATGGAAGTCATGCAAACATCACCAACAGCTTTTTTTCCCCTTTTATAGCCATCTGTTGCCACCTGTTGGAAGGGGGCATTCATTTATGTGCATGTCACTATAGCATAGACAAACATAGACAAGACAAATTATTGACAATAAATAAATAATAGTTTTCAGACTAATTAGGAGTTATTTTCTACAGTGATAATGTCTCATGGCTCACTGAAGTGCCTCTTCCCTGAGGTTGGGAATCACTGCTCTAGGGCATTAAGGAAATATTTTACATTAAGTAACAAATATGAATTTTAGTAATTGGCAGGTATTCTTATATCAAGCTATATTTTCTTATACAGGCGCCCTGAATGAGAACACAATCAGCAGTTTCTCCTGTCTCCTGGATCTGGTCCCTGGCTCTGGTTTAGGTCACTTGGGTCTGGGCACTAAAGCACTTCAAGAAGGAAGATATAAAGATGCCATTAAGGACCTTTCACAAGGTAAGCGTAACTGCAACATGAATCAATGCTTATCTTGGTGCAAAAAGCATCTCAGTTTCTTCTCTATCCTCTCATGAGAAGTGATTATAGTTGATGCAATCTGTCTCTGTTTATTAAGGGACAAAGAAATTGAGCTCCAGCACCGGATGGTACAGTCTGGCCGAGGCTCAGCTTAAGCTGCACATATACGTAGACAGTGCTACATCATGCTCCCAAGGTACAGTGTGTTTAGTTTTCAGTGCTATTTATATCACTACAGCCAGCCACACTGCAGCATAAGTGTCAAATCTTGTTTCATCAGGATTAATCCAGACAATAAATCTTAGTGGAATGCCATAATTATCATGTTAAGAGAAGCTCAAAGTTTAGTAAACATTTATGACTGGCTTTATAAATGGTTTCCACACCCTTCTAACTTTAGTGTGTGTCTTGATCCTTTAGGTCTTATGACATGTGAGTCTGGCAACAAAGAGCTGAAGGTTAAACTGCTTGAGCTAAAACTGGAAGCCCTGGTTAAAAGTAAAGGGAAAAAAGAAGCAGATCAGGCTTTGGAGAGCTTTTCACAGGTATTCTGAATTACTCTTCCAAATATGTTGGTTTTCCTTCTAATTAACCTTTAAATAATCTTACAAAAAAGTCAATGACTAGTGAAGTAAATTTTCTGTTTCTACTCATAAAAAACATGTTTGGGGATATTTTAATTTTTTTTTTTTTTTTTTCAGATTCCAGATGCAGAAAAAGATCCAGGTCTAGTTGCCTTTAAGGGACGTGCCTTCCTTAACAAGGGGCAGTTTGATCAAGCACTTCAGGTAGTCTTGGACTTATTAAATGTTTGATTTGTGTGTCAGTTCTGCTTTGTTTTTATCACTTTTGCTGTTGTAAACATTTCTGCTTTAAAATCTGTACAGAAATGGTCACACTCAAATAAGCTGTTGGTTGTAGGGCCATATAAATATTCAATGTTTGGGAAACCCTATATATTAGAAAAGTAATTTTGCAAAATATAAATACTCTATAGTATTGTAGTGCAAACAGCTAGTATATTTTTCCCCATTCTTAAACGATCAACTAAAGTATTTTACTAATTCATTGTACCATGTTTTTGAGTTCATTGCAGGGTGCTCTGCAAATAAATGGTTATAATTGTTATTTTTCATAGGTATCTTCAGAAATGTTGGCCTCCAACCCAAACCTGGCTGAGGGTTTAGTACTGAAAGGACTGGTACATTCAGCAAAAGGCCAGCTGCAGCTGGCAGAGCAGAGGTGTGTGTGTTTGTAAGCTACAGTTTAGTCTGCTTGTGTAATGTAACTGTATATAACTGTATAATCCACAGCTACTTGAAAGCAGCTGCAGAGAGCCCAGGCTGTGCAGAGCATTACTTATTACTGGGACAACTGTACTGGGACATGGGAGAAGAGATTCGTAAGGATCGGAGTAAAGTTCATTCACATTTACTAAAGGTTGGTGTATGTGCTAAGAATGTAGTTTTTGGTTTGACAAAATTTAAAAAAGATGCTAAATAAAAAAAAAAATCATTTGTTTGTTTAAGGCTGCAAAGTTGGACCCACACATGGGCTCTGCCTTCCGTTACCTGGGCCATTACTACAGGGAGGTGGCTAATGATTACGGCCGTGCCCGAGGCTGTTATAAAAAGGCTTTTGATTTGGACAGCGATGATGCAGAGTCTGGAAGTGCCTCAGTTGACCTCTGTATGGAGCAGGAGGACATGGTGAGTAGCTATAGTGAATAGAAAAGACTGAGTGGAGTTTTTAAGGCTGTAATATTCTAATGATCTCAAATTGTTACAAGGTTCCAAAAAGTTACAAAGTAAATAAAATAAAAAAGGCAAACAATGGTAAAAGTGGGTAAATCCTTCCTCAGGCTGCTGCTCTTTTTTTCTTCTCCTTTCCTTTTATATCCTCTTTCCTTTTCCCTCGTTGTCACAGGACAGCGCCTTAGCAATACTTGAGTCAGTGATTGAAAATGCCACTCCAGGATCAGCCAAATGGGCCTGGATGAGACGAGGCCTGTATTACCTGAACACAGGAGAACATCAAGAGGCCATATCTGAGTATGGAAGTCACATTTGATTTCTGTTGACATCTTTCACACAATTGCACATTGTATTAACCTAATCTAATTTTATAACAGATATTAATACGCGTTTGAAACTGAACTGATCTGTACTACTGTATTTTTGACTCTGTAATTTATGTTCCTAGTCTGCAGGCTGCACTGAGAGCAGATCCGGAAGACTGGGTTTGCTGGGAGTGTTTGGGTGAGGCCTATCTGAACCGCCATAGCTTCACAGCTGCTCTCAAGGCCTTTGGTAAAGCACATCAGCTTCAGCCTTCCTCCATCTACAGTGTTTACCAGGCTGCTGCAATCAAGCAGACTCTGGGAAAATTCAAAGAGGCAGTTGCAGAGTATTTGCAGATTACAGCACAGCTGGACTATGTTCCTGCTCTTAAAGGTTGGTGTTTGTCATATTTTGACATAAAAATTGGATTAACTGTTTTTACTGCACATGTTTTTAACTTTGATTTTTGTTTTGTTTTTTATCACGTGGTGTGTTAGGTCTTGGAGAATGCCAGCTATCTTTGGCCAAAGGTTTAATAGAAGACTGCAGAGATGGAGGAGCAATCGATCTTATTCAAAAAGCAATACAGAACCTCTTTAGGTACTAAATGGGCAATAATGTAAAATAATGTTTACCTTGCGATTACACAGAAAGCAGTGACACCTCTAGTGGAGTGTGTCAAGCATTTGCCTGACCTTTCTCATTGTGGCACTATTTAGAGCTGTGGAACTGCGTCCTGATCTATCCTGTTTGTGGAAGCTGCTAGGAGATGCCTGCACGGCAGTTAATACTGTTTCACCAAACAGAGTGCGAGTTCTAGTGCCTCTCCTGCTGGTTGGTTTAGACCCTAATTCACAGAACCCCATGCTGAACCAAGCTCAGGCACTTAAACTGGGTGAAAGGTATGTTTTTTTTTATGTTCACCCCTGGTGTTCCACAGGGCTCTATTCTGGGATATATTCTATTCTCATTTTTAAAGTTAAGCTTACTGGCATCGTCATAGCCTGTCAGACACATTGAACACCCTCTAATGGACCTTAAGGTCATTATACCTACTAATAAGATAACACCTAGTATGTTGGTGTTACTGCTCATTTAGACGTCTTCAAACCATCTCCAATGTCATAATTACTCACATTCTCTTCCTTTTACTGCTTAAATTCCCTTCCAATAGAAATGTGACATGATTCTCAATCTACAAAATAGAAGTATTCAAGCAAGCGTATTCACATTGATTGTTTTTCATCTCCACTCTTATTCAATCCTGTTATACAGACTGTTAAACTATTTGGGTATTTTATTGCTTCACTGTTGAGCTCATTTTATTGCTCTTTTTCATTACTCTCTTTTATTGCTGGTGTATTTACACTGTATTGTCTGGCCTACCTTCTAAGCTGTCCTTGGGTGTTTAAAAACTCTGTTTTCTGAGTATAGAATGTCACAACTGGATAATACGGATATTTCTGCAGGTGCTATGCTCACGCCTTGAAGCTGATGTCTGATGTTCCCACCCTTTGGTACGACCTTGGAGTTAACTATTACCACCAGGCTCGACTGTCATGTGCCTCAGAGGAACAGGACTCGCAGTCTCTCATCCTAGAAAAGGCTCAGCAGGTAACTTACTATATCACACACTGCACACCATGTCACCTGTTCCTGAATGTGGTCTTCTAAAGGTTTAATCTCTTCTTCGCAGTGTCTGAAAAAGGCCATAATGATGGACAATGAAAACCACAGTTACTGGAACACCCTGGGTGTTGTTTCCATGCACAAAGGTATCAAAATACTTCTGATTTTTTTAATCATCTGAACAAACCAACAGAGTTTGTTATTGTGCACTGAACCAAACAATATCTTTTTCTAATAAAGTTGGTGATTATCTGTCTTATTTATTTAATTGTAAAGCACTTAATTGAAAATTAGTTTTTTAGACCGACCGTTATTATAAAAAATCTATCATGAAGATGAAAAGTAATATATATGTATCCTCTTAATAGAAATCTGTAATTTTAGAATAAAATTCATTTTAAATAATTAATATAAATAAGTGTTGAATTAGGAAAATTATTAAATGAGTTGTGAAGTGTGATAAATGAATATATGGGATGTTTTTAGAATTAAATCATTAATTTTTTTAACATTTAAAAAGTGTAATTTTTTTTTTTTTTATTTATTTATTTTTTACTATCAGACTCTCTTGTATGGTCAACTTTAAGCATAGAAAATAGCTATATTTGTTTGGGCAGTGGCTCTAGTGACTTAGTGGTTAAGGAAGCGGACTTGGGTCTGGAAGGCTTTAGGTTCGAGTCCACTAGCTGCCAAGTTACCACTGAGGTGCTCAGAGCATGGCACCGTCCCCACACACTGCTCCCTGGGTGCTTAAAGCTGCCCACTGTTCACTTTGGTGATGGGTTAAAAGCAGAGGTCACATTTGGTTGTGTGTGCTGTGTCACAATGACAAATAATTCACTTTCACTAAATGGGTCATTCATAACTGTCTAATTAGTTGTGGATTTAGGTTGCAAACTTGTGTTAATGAGGTAAATATTTGTTTCGCATCAATTATGGACACACATTTGTGTTTTTCACTTTTTTTTTTTTTCAGATCTTCAAAACTTTGCTCTGGCTCAGCATTGCTTCATCAAGTCTATACAGGTGAAGGCAAATGTAAGTAGAGCCTTTTAGATCTGCATATATGTGATTATCCTTATTCCAGTACAGGTGTTTAAACCCATTGATGTTTCTAACCAGAAGTTACAATATTTTTTTAGAACGTTGTTGCTTGGACAAACCTTGGTGCCCTTTACTTGAAGAAAGACAGTATAGAGGTTTGTGTGTGAATATATGTGTATTTGTGTTATAATGCTTCCTTTATATTGTTATTGCCGTTGTCACCTGTGACATTCAAAATGCCTGGTTTTTCGTCTTAGCTTGCACACGAGGCCTTTAAAATTGCTCAGTCCTTGGAGCCGCTGTATGTCAACTGCTGGATTGGACAGGTACTGTCAATTTGACATCTGACAATAGCAGAAGGAAAAATGTGTTAAAGGTCTTTTAAATACCAGAATGTCAAAAGAAACTGCTCCTTGGCCCCAGGTACAAAATTGTATAATTGGACAGTCAGGTTAACCTCAAAAGAGCCATAATTGTTAAAATAGGCTGCATAGTAAAAGAGATAAGAGATTTTAAAACATGTCATTTTTTCACCCTTTGCACCAGGCACTGATTGCTGAGAAAGTCGGAAGCTACGACACTATGGATCTTTTCAGACACACTACTGAACTAAGTACACATGTATGTGATTCAAAAATATGTGTATATATACAGTGTATACAAGTGTGCATACAATGACCTGTTATTAGCCAAAACGAAATTTAAGATTAAAGAATCGATTTCCAAACAACCAAGTAAAATGTGGTTAAAAAAATGAAATGTCTTATTAATTTGATCAATGATGGATTTGGTGAAAATGATAATTCAATATTGAATTAAACTGCAACATAAACAGTTGCTCATCATTAGGAAGTGGGTCTCTGTTAAAATAAATTAACTGTTGAGAGATGAAAATAAAAATATACCTGTTCATTTTTTCTATAGGTCGAAGGTGTAAAAGGTTACGCCTACTGGGTTTGTTCCACCCTGCTGGATAAGAGCAACAGAAATTCAGAGTTGTATCGATACAACATTGTCCAGATGAACGCCATCTCTGCTGCTCATGTGGCACTCAGCAAATACACAGGTGCACTAGTGCTTTGTAATATCATCAGAAATATGGAGCTCTCCCGGATGAGCTTTGATGTTTTGTAACATGATGTTTTTATGTTTTATTCCCTTTAGAGAGGATTCAGTCAGACCCTGAAGCCTTTATTATGCTGGGTTACCTTAATGAGCATATGCAGCTAAAGAGACAGGCCTTACATTCTTACCGGAGGTATTGTACTCATCTGCACCAACCCAAGTATCATTAGAAATGAATTAAAGAGTAAACAGTTATTACTCTTTCAACCTTCACTGTCTTTCCTCAGAGCTGTTGAGCTCCTGCAGAGGGCATCTTCACCAGAACAACTGGCTTTTGTACTGGGCAGCTACGGTCGTGCTTTGTGGTAACAATGAGCTCTGTCATTTTACTGCCCTTGAGTCTTATATTCTTCAACTCCCGAACTCAACTATCTGTGTGTCTTTTGTTCATTTTGCAGCACCTTAGGTCAGTGGGAGGAGGCAGTGAAGGTGTATAACTCCACATCACTGCAGGAGCTCAGTAATCTGTCTGGTTTGGCTCTAGCTTACTCCAGGGCTGGACTAATCACAGAGAGCACTAGAGGTGAGGACTAGAAGAAACACTGGTGTTTCAAATCATGTCTATTGTTTTTCTTAATAAACCCAATGTTTTTTGTCTATTAGCCTATGAACAGGCCTTGGCCCTGGCTTCCAGTGAGAAAGACAAAGCTTACATTTTAACAGCACTGGCATTATTGCAGCATCGTCAGGGAAACATTGACTCAGCCAAGACTTTGCTCTTTAAATGGTGAGAGTGAACAATAAAAACAAAATATCATCAGCTTCTCTTACAGCTCCTCATGTTTAAATTAAACAACAGTCAATGGATGTATTTGTCTCCTCTGTCTCTCACTACAGCTCCATGCTAAAAGAACCAATCTCAGAGTCTCTATTGTGTCTGTGCGCCCTGGGCTTGGCCCACAGGGACGTCACACTATCTGCTGCTGCCCTGACTGAGCTCCTGAAACAAGGATCAGCTTCTGGGATCGTTGTGGAGCAGCAGTGTTTACTCACATGCACGTTGCTGGCTCTTCAAGGTAACTATAGTGCTGTGCAAAGAGAGGCCTCCAGAGCTGTACATAGGTAAGCTGCTTATTTGGACTTTTGTCATTTAGTTTATGCAGAGACCCTCTGACTGTCTACCCTACAAGTTATCTGACTGTCTAGTTTTTTTGTCATTTCTGTGACATACTTTTAGAAATCCTGGAAACCCCTCACTGTGGGCCCTGCTCTCCAGAGTTATACCACAGTACTATCCCAGGAAAGCAAATGTAAGAATCCTCAGAGTGAAATCTACATTTCAAAAAAAATGTAGATACAGGGTCAGTCTAAGTTTAAGTTGTTTTGTAGACTATAGCTAAGGTTTCTGTGGTCTTCTAGGGGGGTGCAGTTGCTGGTCATATTGCCTGTCTCTCCAGTATGACACAAGGAAAGGTAAAAAGATCACTGCAGGTTATTTTCTCTTCTTTCTCTTTTTTCTACTTCTTAGATATTTAATTACTTTTCTTTACTAAACACGTAATAGTTTTTAATCTCTTTTAGAGTAAACTGTTGTGAAGCAGTTCCCCTGTCATTATTGTCATTAGCATATTTAAAAACGTTTATGGAAATTGTGTCACTGCAGAGGGCGCTGTTGTATAGTGGCGTAAACCAACTGGCCTGTGGGAAACACTCTGGAGAGGATAGTCAAAGAAACGCATTGAAGACACTGCAGAGAGCTGTGCTTCTCTGTCCTGGTAGAAACACACACACGCACACACCCTAATATACACACAACAGACAACAGAACTGGATAATATGAAGATATACTTAAAATACAAAGTGATATCAAGCAATTAAAATGTAAATTTAACACAAAAGAGATTTTAATATTATGTTTCATTCTAAATTCAGTAAGCTGTTATCTACAGGTGGCGCCAGTATGCACTTGTGCACATCACCTAGTAAACAAATCCAGGCTATACTAAAACACTGTTAAGGTTATAGAAATGAGAAAAGAAAAAATCATTCCAAATACTCATTATATATGGTCTTTATGCAGTAATAATATTTTTAACTACAGTGACTCTCATTACTTATTGGAGTCGATTAAAGTCCTCGACTCATACCTGCTCCAGTATCATCATCTTTAGTGTAAATTCAAACACAACAGTTTTTAATTTGTTTTGTCCAACAGATATGGAGAGTCCCATGTAATAACTTGAAAAACACAGGTGCTATTATTTTGTCTCTGTTCAGATGATTCAGCAGCCTGGGCAGGACTGATGGCTGCCTGTCACACTGAAAACACAACCTGTCACCTGTCAGGCGCTGCCCCCTGCAGACAGGGTCTGGAGAAAATCCTCATGGCAGTGGTTTCTGAGAAAGGTGTGTGTTAATGTGTGTGTGTGTGTCTCTGTACAGTAAATAGGTGTCTAACTGACAATTGCCTGTATTCCAGTGCACAGTGTGGAGGAGATAGAGCGCCCTCTAGCCCAGATTTTGGAGGGATGGGTACTACAACAGGCAGTCACTGGACTCATGTTGGCAGGAGAACTTGAAGAGGCGGAAGCTCTGTGCTCACAGGTTACCTTCAAAACACACACACATACACATAGAGACAGAGAGGGAGAGTTCCAAAATAAGACTATTGCTTTGTTACCAATGATGTCTTTTTGCTGTCCCAGGTGTTGAATGTTTCTCCAGAACATCCAGCAGTGATACTCTCACTAAGACAGGTACAATGTCAGTGCCTCCTAGTTGAAAACAGCAGTATTGTCCTCCCAGAATCTGTGCTGGAGCAGCTTAACAACACAGTAATGATGAACCCCACTAACCTGGGGGCATGGCATGTAAGTGATGTTGTCACAAAATGTTTTGCACTCAGTATTTTTAACATTGATATCAGCATTCCTTCCCTGCATCTGTTGTACCTTCCTTACGCATTTGTCTGTAAATCTGCTCTGTTGATTCATCTCTCCCATCATCGATCTCTTTTTAGTGGTTGGCTGAGGTCTATCGTGACCAGGGTCTGCTGGTTCAGGCAGTGATGGCTTACAGGCAGAGTCTGCAGCTGGCCTCACAGTTCGGTCTGTACAGCTGGCAAGTTTCCAGCCTGCTACGATTGGCCCTTCTGGCTTTAAGACCTTGTGTGGTGAGGTTTGATGTCCAAGGTTTATAAGTGAATGTAGTTGATTTTGACATTTCTTATTTATTTATTTATTTAACTAACCATTATCAATACATCTGACCCATACTACATGTGTTGTATCCTCTCAGGCAGGGCTTCCAGGACAAGAATGGAAGGACCTGGTAGTAGAAGCCACCACTGAGGTTTTAAAACTAGAATCATCTCCTATGGCCTTCCTCTTTCAGGCTCTGCTCCAGTTTGTCAACAAGATGGCAGCTAGGTCAGTTCACCACAGTAGTCAGTCTCCCCTGCAGCAGGTATTGGTGCTTATGTAAGCTCCTGGTGTAACTGTGTTTAGCTCTGGTTTTCTAACACTGGGTCTTTGCGATATAAACCATAGATATGAAATAAGTCCAAATTCATGCAGGGATTACTGGAATCGATTGAACCTGAAAGCACTGTACTGCCCAGACATGATAATACATTTTCTGTCACTACCTTAAAGACCTGCCAGGATGTTTAATTAGAGTGCAGTCTGAGAGATAAAAGCATACGTAGAATTAAATTGGCCCTAATTTCTCAAGAGATGCTGCAGGAACTCCTGAGTGCCAACAAAAATGGACAGTTAAAGGCCCTGAGTGACACAGGCAACGAAGCTACCTCCTGTCTTTGTGTCTTCTGCAGGGAAACAAGGCGATTGCTGGATAAGCTGCTGTACTTCTCATCTCAGAATGTCCCAGTGACAGTGGTGCAGGTGTGCAGCTGGTACCTTCTCAGACATCTGCATGCCAAAAATGATGAGGAGCTGATAAACGTAAGCCTCAACTATAATACTTTCATCATTCGTGATCATTTCTGATGTGTCGGGTCGTCAGTAACAGACAGTAAAATTGTCTTTTTTTAGGTGCTTTTGACCAAAATGAAGGAGGACAAAAGGCTGTTGGACTTACATTCAATTCTTGAATCATCTGCATCCAGAATTCAGGTTTAATTAACTACAGTAAATCATATTAATGGAAGCATGTAGCTTTACTGGCTTTGTCATACGGCTTTCAACAATTCAGCTTCTCTGGCTCTCTTTGAAGAAGGCAGGGTTTTTGTTTTACAATTTATAATCAAAACTTTAATTACATCAGTTCACTGCTATTTAGATCATTGTGATTGGGGAAAGCAAAAAAAGATTTAACAGAATGTTCTGAGGTCTCTACTGCTTCTTTTAAGGAGGATTTGATCAGTCACACTCTGCATGTCTATTAGGTAGAATAATGTCGACCTTAACGTCAGCAAAATTACCTTCTTTGTTAGAAAAGAAAAGTTTTTAGGGTGGGAAAAATAAACACAATAAAACATGTCCTAGAAATTTTCTAGAGGTGGAGAGTCTGCTTTAGGTCTGTTAAATTAGTTTGTCTTTCTATGGCGGTGAAGAGTCCTGGACAAAATCCTGGCAAACTTCACTTCTATGCATCTGTATACTGTACTGTCAGCAAATAATTACTGGTTTTCCTACTCATCAAACACAGCCAGGAATTAATTGTCAAACTCATTGTTAAGAAAAAATACATACAGAGCCTGAAATAAATCTTTCTCAAGTAAGTCTTTAATTTGTTCATTGTGTATAAACAAACACATGCTTTATCAATACAAGTCATTAACAAGAACATGAACGCATTCATACAGATAAATCATTTTAATACAGATTTTTTTATTGTATTAACATTATCATCAGATTAGTTTGCTGTGATGTATCTTTACATCACAGCAAACCAATGCCAACCTGATTCATCAGAGAAAAAAAAATGATTTCTGTGATTTTTGTTTTAAAGGATTTAGTTTTAACAGTAAAAAATCTTTAGTAATTTGAGACACATTGCAAACCGATGTGAAATTATCTCTCCACTCCCCTTCAGTCACTGCTGTCTGCCACCTTACAGCAGATGTGTCTGATATCCTTCTGCAGCTTCTCCTTGTCAAGGTGAGATTTAATGTCACCTATCTGCCTCAGGGACTGGATGGCATCATGCACAGACAGGAACCCTGTAGACAAAGAAAGATGACTGCAGTTGAAATGCATTAGACTTGAAAATAGTTCCCTGATTGTTTCCATTTTATTTGCACTCAACAGATGGGTTTTTGCCATGACTTTGTATTTTATTTATAGCGATATAACTCTAGAACCTATGACTACAGTTGGTGGAAACCTATTTCAGCCAAACTGTGACTCTTTATATATATATATATATATATATATGTATATGTGTGTGTATATATATGTGTATATATATATATATTCATATATATATATATATGTGTATATATATATATATTCATATATATATATATATA